TGAAGTCCCTCGGCCCTTAAAGGGGAAAGGTTGCCTACCCGATTTAGAGCAATGGAATCAAACTACAGGAAAAGAGACTCCACCGAAACATTAGGAGGAACTTCCTGACAGTAAGAACTGTTTGACAGTGGAACACAATCCCTCAGAGTGTGCTGGAGCCTTTTTCATTTGAGGTCTTTAAGCAGAGGCTGGATGGCCATCTGTCAGGGACGCTTTGAATGTGATTTCCTGCATGGCAGGGGGTTGGACTGGATGGCCCTTGGGGTCTCTTCCAACTCTATGATTCTACGGTCCAAAACACACTGCAGAAATAATCCAGTTTGAGACCGCTTTAACTGCCTTGGGGAATTCTGGGAAGTGTAGTTTTGTGAGACATTTAGCTTTCTCTTGTGAGAGAGCTCTGGTGCCACAATAAACTAGAATTCCCTGACTTCCCTAGCATTGAGCCAGGGCCAGTTAAAAGTGTTTTCAAAGTGGATTATTTCTGCAGTGTGGCGTTTGGACCTATGATGTTAAGATTGTGTAGAAATGAACAGTCCCAAGGACCTGGCGTGAAGTGTCTGGAAGCAGAAATAAAATGCAAGTTTTTAAAAATCTCCAGGAGGTGTGGGCAGGGGAGGGAAAGGGAACCAGAAGAAATATATCTTTTTTTCCCCTTTCTGTGGGGAAAGGCAGGGTTGGGGAGGGAAAAATGAGAAATCCCAGATCCATCATTCAACCTCTAAGCTCCTTTGTTGTTTCACCTTTTGTGGAGAGGATGGAAATCTCTTTTTTTTTTCTCAAAACAAAGTGTGTTAAGTTCCCCCAAGTGATGATAGATAGATAGATAGATAGATAGATAGATAACAAAACCATCGCCCTGTTTGTTTTCTTGGAGAATTTTGCACAAGAACAAAAACATCCCTCCTGGGGAAGCAGGTTGCCATCCAAATTAAAACAAAAACATCACACATACCCATACAAACACACACACACATAGCATTACAGGAAAATTGCACACAGTTTACATTTTAAAAAAAAATGGCAGTTTGGCCCCTGTACCAAAATAAATAACACAATTTTAAACTGAGAAACTGCTTAGTCTGCTCTTTTTTGGGGGGGGGGAAGGTGCTGACCAGCTTTGTTGTTCTTGTTGTTTATTTATTTATTATTTTCCTTCAGGAGATCTTCTTTGGTTAAAGACATTGTTTGGAACATGCTTGCAAACAACACTGCTAGTCCCTCTTCAGCCTTAATTTTAATTCAGCATTAAAAAAGCACAACACTGTTAAGTCTTCTCTTCATGACATCCCATTTGAAAAATCCCTCTCCTCCCTCCTTTTTCCTTTTATCCCACATTTACAAAACGCTGCCCCTTGGCTGGAGGTGAGGCTGTGCAGCAGAAAGATCTATGAGGAAAGCAACCAATTCAGCAGGAAGAAAATAAATGCAATTTTTTTTAATTTTTATTTTTTATTTTTTGGAAACCTGAACCCTCCCTCCCCTTGAAGCGCAAAGCAGACCAAAGCAGAATTGCCAAGAAAATCAAAATAATGAGGAAAGGAAAGAGAGGAGAGGAAAGGGTGTGTGTAAAAGAGGGGGTTCACTAGATCTCCCCATTTTTTAAATTATTATTATTATTTTACTTTGGACATATACAGAATAATCCCAGAAGGGGAAACCGATTGCCCAAAAGGGAGCTTGCAAGAAGGTGGGGAAAAACAATCCCTCAATCTCTCTCTCAGACTCACCCACTCCGTATTTCTCGTGCTCTGTAGGAATCCACATGGTATAATTTTAAAAAAAAAATAAAAATAAAAAAAGAATATTTCCAAATAATAATAATAATAATGACAGGAGAGGCTGCAGCAACTCTCTGCTTGCAAGGAATGCTGTAGCAGCAACAGCAACAGCAGCAGAGATAAACTCAAAGCTGCCCACAAAAAAATAAAAAATAAAATAAAAATTCCCCTGCTGCAAAGAGAGGACAGACAGCGCTGCTATTGCTATTGCATTTGCAATTGCAATTGCAACTGCAATTGCTGCTGCTGCTTCCTTGGAGCGCGCGCTCCCTCAGCTCCGCTCCTTCGGCTCCGAAGTCATTGTTCTGATTGACGAAGCCCGGCTCGCGCGCTGGGATAGCTCTCTCTCTCTCTCTCTCTCTATCTAGCGCGCGCGCACCCCGCCTCCCTCCTTCTCTTCAGGGTTCCATTGGATGACGGGAAATGTAGTCTTTTTCCTCCTCCCCCTCCAAAGGGCCGCCATTTAAAAACAGCCACGCCTCCTGGTCGGTTAAAACAAAAGCCATGCCCGCCCTCTAATTCCCGACATGTTTTACCCTATCGCTGAGAGGAAACGGCCTCAACCGTTCCCTATTGGTCGAGGCGGAGTTCCAAG